CCTCCAAGAAGGTCATCTACGGCCTGACGACACCGTTCATGCCTAACTACAATGCACAGAACCATGTTGTGGAGCAGCTGAACGCACGCGCCCGCGACGTGATGAGCCAGAACGGTGTGCCCGTGGCTGACCTCTACCAGGATGTGGTGGACACATGTGGACCGGTGCCGTACACGAACTGCAGCATCTGCGCCAAGGAGCCGTGTTCCTATCATTACAAGCCGGCGGGCTACGAGATACTGGCAGCGACGGTGAGCGCGTCCATAAGGAGTGCTCTGAGCTCTGAGTCCGTGGCTGCACACTCAACGTGAACATACTTAGCGGGCATTGAAATCCGTTGAGAGGTCAAGCGGCCACGGGGCGCTGGCCGTGAGCAATGCTTGTCCGTTTATACAGTGTCACAGTGTGTGTACGTGCAAAGCAAGCGAGGGCGCCGTCCCCATTCATTCCATCGGGTATCTATGTCCACAAGAGTACATGCCGGACGCTTGAATCCCATCTGACAATGGCGATAACGGATTGTACCTCATGAATGCAAGTCTTTTTAGTTCAAGTATTTGATAACAGAACATTACTGGGTATACGGCACTTTATGGCGCATTAATGGTACATGCGTATCCAAAATTCCTTACCATTTCTGGGCTTGTATTATTCTTTACCAGATGAAATTGAGCATCAATCAAACAAGTACCAGAAGCCAAATGATATATTATTACTCATTTTGTACTTTTGTTCTACTTTTGAAGTACACTTTGAAATTTGTCTTTACTTTACTTTCCACAGAAACAGGGCCTGCAAGTTGGGTATGATGTACGCCAGTGTAAGTGTGTGTGTACGTGTGTGTACGTGTGTGTGTGTGTGTGTGTGCAAGCTGTTGAATGGTGCAATCCCAGCACAAGTTACTATGGCTTCTGCCGTAGCATTGCTATCATCGCCTCCGGCGATGGGCGTCAAAGGTCAAGGTGTGTGTGTGTGTGTGCGTAAATCTATGGGTGCACATGCAGTGCATTTGTAGATTTGCGTGCTTCTCTTGCGACGGGCGTATACATGGTGTGAACATGGTGTGTCATAGGCGTCTTTCTTCTCTTTCTCATGCCGGTACTCCTCCTGACTTTTCTTTCATTCTCCTGGGTGGTTACCAACAGCCAGTGTATGCCGGAGTAACATTATGTGGTGTGATGTGTGTGCGGAAAAAAAGGACCAAAAAGTAGGGATTCACTGGCCAGAAAAAGCCACTTCATAGCGTGTTGTGTAGACCAGGCTGAATAGTGGCGGTCAATTCTTCAGCCTTGCAAGCTGTTGAATGGTGCAATCCCAGTACAAGTTGCTATGGCTTCTACTGTAGCATCGCTATCAAGTATCATCGCCTCCCGCGATGGGCGTCAAATGGTCAATGGTCAAATGTGTGTGTGTGTGTGTGTGTGTGTGTGTGTGTGTGTGTGTGTGTGTGGTGATGTGTGTGTGTGTGTGTGTGTGTGTGTGTGTGTGTGTGTGTGTGTGTGTGTGTGTGTGTGTGCGTGTGTGTGTGTGTGTGTGTGTGTGTGTGTGTGTGTGTGTGGTGATGTGTGTGTGTGTGTGTGGGGGGGGGGGGGGTAGCATGTATGGTATGTGTGTGTATGTACAGGATTGTGTGAGTGTATGTGTGTGTTTTTTTTTGTTAGTGTGGTGGTTGCAGCATGTACATAATAGCTGTGTTTGGGTTGCACTATTGTACACAGTACTACACATTGTAGCTCCTTCTTTCAAAGGTCGTTCTTAATGGCTTCCGCTACTGGAGCGGCGATCAACTCATATCCCCGTGGTGTGTAATGGTACTGACATGGGTCCTTTCGGCAGATAGGGCAAGATTTGTACGGCACAGGGCCGCACTCCTTCACCACCGCACTGTAGAGGTCTATAATGGGTACGGGAGATGGCTGCGTTTGCATGACACTGGCAGCAATCCTGTTCAAGTCCTCCACGACGTGATTTCCCTGCGTGTAATCTGGCATGAATGGAGTCGTCAAGCCGAATATCACCTTCTTGCTGGCTCTCCTCAAAATCTCTGTGATCTTGTTGAGGTCGTCTCTGTACAACTGCTCGGCGCTGGTTGAGTTGACCAGGTTGTGCAAGCCGAAGTTGAAGAAGATCACGTCCCACTCTATGGAGACGAGTTTGCCCGTGAGCAGGAAGTGTTCCAAGCAGGCCAGTCCGTACTGAACTGGTCCTGCACCTCCGCTGCCGTACGCGTAGGGCGTGTGCTGGACTTGGCACGTCTGGTTCAGGATCTGCTGCACGATCGGCGTGTACCCATCGCTCACGCTATCGCCGAGGATCAGGCAGTTCGGTAGCGTGGTGCTGGGCGGTTTCAGCACGCCCTGCCGACAACACGTTCCGTTTATCACACAGCCTTTTTGCACCGGCTGGGTAAAGTTGCAGCAGCCGCTAGCACTTGCCGGACAAAGGGTAGTACCATTATCACATGTAAAGTCGCCGTCAGCGCTCACACTCTGAGCTCTTGGAAAGTCTTGCCGGCTTCGTCCCGTTCTAGTAACCTCGTGATTGCGTTGTTTGTCTCCGACCGCTGCTGATGCAGACATGGACCCTGCGTCCTTCGAGGCACCTTGCATTGCAACTCCATTCATAAGGCAGAGGGCTACAAACACGTAAAGCCCATTCGTGCCGTCCATTTCGGCTATGTCTGGTATCGACCCTGACCTTCACCCCAACCAACAAGTAACAAAGTAGAGTAAAAACAGCTCTTTCTCTCCCAGCAAGCTAGCTACAGAGTGTAGTTGAATATTAGAGAGGAGAATATAAGTAACAGTCTCTCCTCCTCTTCTCCTCTATGCGCTCTCAGCCAGGATAAACATGATAAAGGTGTGCAGAAAAACCAATGGTCCACGTGACCTGCGAATCAAAGTTGTACAGATGGCAGATTGCATTCATTGCAAGAGTGGTTCGTGTGGAGAAAACAAGTTCACACTTCATGCGAGACGAGTACGAATCGGGCCCGATTCTTATTCGCTGGTCGAGGAATTCTTCTGTAGAAATCGTCCTGCCTCTTCATTTCGGCTACCATTCCGCAGTCTGTCTCCTGCCATTGCATGTCTAGTTGTCTACAGTTACAATAGTAAAACTTGTATTTTGTAAGTGTGCACGTCTCTAAAAGACGTCCAATGGATATACATGTACCGGTCAGACTTCGCTATAACGTACTCTCTGGGCATGGGAATTTTTTTTAAAGCGGGGTCGTTATAGCGAGGTCTGACCAGTACTGGGACGCGGACCAACGCGCACTAGCACTGCACGTCTCAATGAGATCATGGGTAGATTTACATTAGCTCACTACAAAGTGCTCCGCGATCCGGTGCCCGAAGACGAAGGTGAATCTGTGCCGCGAGTCCGCGCCTTCCGTAATTCCAATCGTGGCTGCGAGAAAACATTATAACTAAGGCTGCAGGACATGGAAATCCGGTCGCACGTCTAGCGGCCCCAGGGCGCTGCCCATGCAGCCGGGAGTAAGCAGTACACACGCATCCATTGTATGATAATTGTATGAACCTACTTTGAGTTGACGGCCAGGTGTCTGACAGTGACGCCGTCACGGTTGGCAGCTCAAAAGCGCACGGTCTTCACAGTTTTTCATGTAGATCTACAGGGCTGCAACCAGCCAAAGCTACAATGTACATGTACGTTCTAGTACAGTCATGCATACTGGTACGGCCTTTCAACAAATTCAAGTGTGACTGGATGTGCAAGTGCTGCATGCTCCACTATGCCGGATTGCATACAACGGAAGAAGGAAGTCGAGCGTTTCGAGGAGCGCTCTAGTTCATCTGCACTGCGGCTCCAGGAACAGGCAGCCGATGTTACTTGTCGATTTCGTGTTGACCTCTCCAAACGGTGAGCTATTACTGGCCCTTAGTACACGAGCATTTGAAGCCGAGTGAAGTCCACTAAGGTCCGGATGGCCTTCCAGTTTGCCAGAATGACGCCGATTTCTTGCATTGCCTTGGTGATCATTAGTTCAGCTGTGTGTGCAGAGGCACGCGGCCAGTCGACGACACCAGGCCCCCTGCGCCACACGTCAACCCCTACCAGCGCAGGAACGGGCAATACCACAAGGACACCGGAGCAAGGTGATTATGTGTGAATGCACGCGCGCGCGCGTGTGTGTATTGTGTGTTCTGGCTACCCCAGCAAGTGTAGGTTGTGCATAGATAACTGCCTTGGCCGTCCTATTCCAATGTACTCTGTGTATGTAATCCGTGTGGTGTAGCACATGTGTCACCGTGTGCATTGGGAGGGGGGGGGGGGTGGATTCAAACGGCTTCGCCAGTTGTCATCTGGCGCTTGTCTTCTATTATTCTGTTTCATTGAGAAACAGATCCGCTATCGTTGCTATAGAGAAAATCTGTGGGAGCAAATCCGGTGCATTTGTGGATTTGCCCGCTTCTCTTGAGACGGGCGTATGCATGGTACATGATACAAGGTGTGTGTACATGTACATGTACACATATGTGTGTGTGCTATCGTTTAAAATGATATTAATTCAAAGGATCAGTCGGGGAAGTGAACCCGACTGATCCTTTGAGTTTGATGTTCTCCCAATCCTTTCGAAATTTATCCCTTTCTTTCACCTCTGGTAGTTTCCAGAAACTGACCGTGGTTGGTCCCCTGGGGGAGGGGTGTTAAGTCCCGGTTTCGCTCAGTCGGTAGAGCAAGCAGTTACAGTAATGGATATTGGTTATCATACAGAATTGCACACTTATTCCGAGAGAGAGAGAGAGAAAGAGTTCTCTAGCATGAATCTAAGAGGTAGGAACTGATCTTAATCGGCAAGAAACTAATCCGTAGGAAACTAGAAAGGCAGCAGCTTTTATAGGGTGAGTAAGTAAGCTAGCCTATGGTCAGGGGATACGTAGAGCAGAGAAAAGTAAGAAGAAAGGTCAAACTACAAGGTACATGATTGTGTGGGCAGAAGAATGGGAAAGGTCGGGACGGCACCTGTGCAAGAGGAATACGTTGTAGAGGAAGAACTGAATAGAAGGGTGTACAATACATCGTATACATGTAGGCGTGCAATAATAGGAGGACAACTGTTGAAAGGGGGCATTAGGATGTACATGTATGTACAGCTGTTAGTGTAGATAACTAAAAGTGCGGCTGAAAGTGAAATGCATCAAAAGGTCTCCAGTGTGCTATCTAAGGTCAACCTCGAAAGTGTGTGGGAACAATACATGAATACAGCGCATAGTATAGTATTAGTAAAAAAGTAAAGTTTGCACGTCCGCGTTACCACCGGCTATACAATTGCGTTGAGAAACACAACCAGCTTAGGAAGTTTCGCATGTGCCAGGCCACCACCATGCCTGTGCTACCAGGGTGGCAGATGCAGCGCCTAACGGCGAGGGTGAGGTGGTAAGTCTCGCAACCAATGCCCGACAAGGCCAAAAAGGGGGCTAACCTCGTTAGCTGCATCCATGTTACCCTCACTCCGAGTAGTGAGTACCCAGTTGACCGTGGGTGTCGGCGCAGTTCACTGCATGTAAAGTGGTTCACGCATGCATCACCGCATTTGCTAGCACAGTACACGCTCCCTGCTCCCAGCGAGGGTCTCGAACTCGGGACCTTGTGATTCGCAGGCAAGCCCACAACCACTCGGCCAAAGCGCTGGTTTTAGTATTAGTAGTGCATGTAAAAGAGGATAGAAGGTGAGGCTGGTGTAACAAGTCAAGTACATGTGCATGTCATATAATGTATGTATTCCTATCTAACAAGGGGGAAAAGTCCCAAGTGCCATCAGTACGGTATGTGTGGCACGTGTTGTGAGCTGCCTTTGGAGTGAAAAACTTGTCAGCGCCTTCTAGGTTCAGCCTGGTCCCATAGCTCAGTTGTTAGAGCATTGCTCATGACAAGCAGGTCCCAGGTTCGAGTCCTGGTGGGACTCGCCTTTTTTTCTCTTTTCAGGCAGTTCCGACTTCCCAGACTGATCCTTTGCATGTGAAGTTCTCCCAATCCTTTCAAAATTAATCACTTTCTTTCACCTCTGGTAATTTCCAGAAACTAACAGTGGTTGGTCCTGGGGAAAGAAAAAGGCCCGAGTGCCATCAGTATGTGTGGCACGTGGTGTGAGCTGCCTTTGGAGTGAAAAACCTGTCAGCGCCTTTTGGGTTCAGCCTGGTCCCATACATGTAGCTCAGGGAAAACTACCTGGATTACACCATGAGAAAATCTGTGGGTGTACATCCAGGGTATTTGCAGATTTGCGTGCTTCTCTTGCGACGGGCATGTAGATGTACATGCATGAGTATGTTTGTGTGTGTGTGTGTGTATGTGTGTGTGTGTGCACGCAATATACAATCATGTACATGTGCGTGAATCCCATTTTTGTGTTAAACTGATGGGAAACACACCCCTGACATAGCGAAGTATTGAAAATCATGCTGAGCGAGATTGCCAGTATTGGTGCGGAGGTTTTTAAACTTCGGCCAGTATGACTACTACAGTATTCACTTCGTCTTGGGCTGGGTTAGACATGGGTCAATGTGGTAGAGTCTTTGATCAAACCGACCGTAGCTGGTGTTTCTACTGTTATGTGAGACAAAGCTGTTACTTGGATGAGGTAATAGTTGTGCCCCAAAAACACTGTCTTGACATACTGCCACACTCACCAGGTCCCATGTGCAGCTGTATATGACTGTGTTGGCTGTGGATTCCAAACCATTGGCAATTTCAGATTGACTCGCAGAATGGGCGCTCAGCTGCACGCTTGCTTTGCCTGAACGGTTTGTTTAGTAATATACCGGATATAGTGATTGGTGTAAAATCAAGCGATGTCAGAGGAGAACAGGGTGTTACTTCTTCGTGAAGAACTTGTCCAGTGAGTGTTGTTTGGTGAGTTTTGCTTGTACAAGTTACCAAAATATGCCTCCATCACGAGGAAATCCTGATTTTGTGTGTCAGGAGCTACAGCCAGCTACATGACATTGTACATGTATGTAGTGCGTATGTGCACGGCGTGCTGAGTCGTTTGACACCCCACTCGCATACATTGCATGCAGTATCGGTCATACATGTAGTAATATAATTATCGCTTATACTAATATAGTGATAAAACGCTCAAAATCAAACACCAACGCTATAGGCGATACTGACTGTACGTCCATTTGACATGATTGTACAGAGACAAGCGCAACGGGGGCAGGAGATACCTCACCGAAGACCACCTGTCTTGGTGATTGGCTTCGACTGTCCGGTGCCACTGACCGGCAAGTGCAGCACATCCCCTCCAGCGGCCAGGCAGTTCTTGGGGCTTTGGACGAGACCAGGATCAGGTCTTCCGACACCTTCTTCCTCAGTCTTCTCCTGGGATTCGACACTACGTTGGCAGATGACTTAAAAAAGTGTGTGGGTAAGTCGAGCTACGCATACCCATCCACAGGCATCTTGGATGATTGTACCTGCTGCTTGACAGTGACACAAGTGTAATGAATGCTCACGTGATAGAGCCAAGCGCCATGGCGTTGAATGTCAGTGCTATGCGACATCTTGCACAGACTCAGTACAAGGCGATTATCCGAGCTTCTAATACTCAATAAGCGTCAAAATTTCAGAACAACAGAGCAGCATTGCTAGTTATTGCTTCAGTAGTAATGATTATTCCATACCTGTATTTCGGCAGTGCATCCATATTATTGCAAGTACTGCTCTAAGTCCAGGACTTTGCTTGTATTAACCAACTCCTGTGGGTCTCCAGAGAGAAAGTCGACTTGCCCAACAATAGATGTACGTCTACCATGCGGAAATACCGGAAGGTGCGTGTTTGACCCAGATACCCGCTCAACTGTGTGCAACTGTTCTCGAGGCCTCGTAGGATCTCGTTGCGAACACGGTAAGACAAATTGCCCTCAATCATAGCTCTGCTGCAAATATCATCATCCATAACCGTATCGAACAAAAGATGCATGGATAAGTTCGTAATAACATTAATTGTCGCCTCAGGAAAAGCTGTGTCAGAAGTGATAGTCATTCTAAAGCTAAAGTGCAGCATGCTTGTTTTTCACTCCCATTAAAATATGCATGCTATCACTCACAAACATATTGCAACGTTCAAACCTTCTACGGCAGTAGTGTGCAAGCTGCCTCGGCAGTAAACGTTTATACGCCATGTTCAAATCCATTTTCTTAGCCCAATACTGCTACCGTCTGTGGCTGATCCCTGGGGGATAAGACTGCTACTGTTCATTTAGGACATCTGCCAACGTTGTCTCTCGAATGAAACCGGTAGATAGTGGAAAGATCACAGAGTTACTAATAAGAAAAACCTGGTGTAGGCGACCTCTGTCTTTAGCGACCACCTGCTCTTAACGACCGTTTTTCCGTGCACGGACAGTTCTACACAGAAACTGCACCGGATACAGCGACCACCTGCCTTGCTCCACACCTGTATATGAGTACATTGAAGTAAAATCATGCACATGTATGCATAATCCGATATACCACGATGTATGTGACCTGGTTCTAAAGACCACCTGGCTTTAAGACCAACAATTTGAAGTAAGCCATTCCAATGTTCCTTTTCAGATGTGGATGAGTGTCTGCAGGATGGGCTGAATGACTGCGACACCAGCGCAGCTGCCATCTGTGCGAATACTCATGGATCTTACGCATGTGAATGTCGTCAAGGTTTTGATGGTAATGGCCGAGACTGCCAAGGTCAGTAAGCAGTGTGTACTTTGATAACCCACCCCTCAATGAGCATCTACTGCAGTTTAAAATGCTTTTAGAGCTAGTGCGTAATCGCTGCAGCCCCCCCCCACCTCTACTGGTTACTCGAAACGCAATGTGTTGGCAAGAGGGTCTTCTCATACCGTCGCCCATTGATCTGCTCAGGTTTTAAAATGTGAGGCTGATAGGAAGATGACGTTGGAGTTGGACAAGAATTAGTTCTCTATTCCTTTCTGATCCTCGAATTATCACTCATTTTAGTTTCCCCATATTAGGTAGGCCCAGATCAAGCACACATTCGCATACTGAGAACATTTGGATGAACGTTCGCACGATGACTTGCTCAAATTGACAATAAAAGAATTATAAAACAATTCTCTTCTTTCCTCACCTTGTCTCGCCAGATATCAACGAGTGTGAATCAAATGCGCACGACTGTCATCGCCACGCTCACTGCAACAACACCGTGGGATCCTACAGTTGTGCATGCAAGACTGGATATCTGGATACTCCTGATGGCCAATGTGAAGGTAAATAAGAAGCATCGTGAAATTGCGATATAGAGTTTATCAGTATTTCACCAGTTGCTTTCAGTACATGTACACGTATACTGTATATACTATTATAAATTATAATCTAATACTGGTTCAAAACCAGTATTAGATAAGCCTTGTTATATCCACCTTGTTTTATGCTGTCAATCTAACAAAATACGTATACTAGTAACCTGATGATCACTTAGCGCGAGGCTTTGACAAACAGGATTTGTTCTGACTTCGGTGTTAGAAGAATACCTTTTTCAACGGTTTCTGTGATTTCTGGTCCCCTTTACCGTTTTATCGCTGACCATTTTGGTCGCCGGCCAGCATTGGTTTGAAAATCACACTGGTTTCTGCTGAATACTCCCAGGAACCCGCATATGGATGTTCTTCTTCACAAGTTACGCATTCTGACCACGGTATTTTGCGACTTCTAAAAAGTAGAAGCTACACAATTATTTGTAATAAAGAAAAGGACCGATCAACTACAAGTTACGCTTTACTGTCCACTAACACCACCAGTTACTAACCAACCAGCTCATGCGATAACATTGTACGATCCTTGGTCCTTTTCTTTATTATAAATTGATCATTGGCCCTCCATCCGAGTATATCCGTACAAAAGTATGTGCTTATAGAGATAAGTCTCATTCTTCTTTCTTTGCTTGATTTTGTCTCTAGTTGATCTCTGCACAACATCCGAAAACGCTGCACTGTGTCGTAAAATTCAGCAAGTTACCCGATACAACAAGGCTTTGGAGGGAAAGTTAGCAAAACGAGACAAGCAGATAAGCAGTATTCTTTTCGACGTCAAGGTGATGTCCACAATCTTCGCGCAATACCATCGGGAGTTTGGAGATATGAGAGCTGGGTTAGAGACGACACGCGCTGAATTGGCCGCAGCAAAAAGGGAACTCCATTCGACCAAGTCAGATATTGCCAAACAACTCGACGAGCACAAATCCATGGAGGTGAGTTCTACGCATGCATGCTTTTTCTATTCAACAGCACAAAACGCCTCTATAGTATGCATATGCATACTTGTAGATGTTAACCAACCCCTTCCCCTGCCCCCCCCCCTCGCCTCACGACCCAAATATCGACCATATCCCTTCCCAGACCTCACGAAACGTAACTCCCAATTTCGCGCATTAAACGACCATCAGGAAACAGTAATGAGAAACTGTGGATACTGGTTTAGATACCCACAAAGCAAAAGTGTACATGATAGCAGTTGTGAAAGATTGCAAGACTCTGAAAGTTGTGAATGGCAGCAGTGGTGCAAGATACTACTTCAAGCGACACGCACTGGAGCTGGTTGCCTGTTACTTCATTGGCTGACGCCTGTGGACGGGCCTTCTGCGCCACAGACTACACGAGAAGGACACCCGCCTGTCCCACTCTGTCTGGGCCAAGAAGGATGAAGGGAAGGCGTGCAGTATTCAATGGGCAGTCCACCGCAAAGCAGTGGCCTACAGCAACAAAAGCAAAAGGTGCAACTTATGTCAGCAGGCAATCGCGAAAACACCCAAGCACGTCTCTCTCTCTCTCTCTCTCTCAATAAGAGGAGTGAACGTGTGTCAAAGTGTCGCCACGAGAATAAGTACTACCTTTGGAACTTCATACCATCCACAGGCGTCAGCCAATGAAGTAAAAACTGCTATGCAAAAGTATGACAATAAATTCATCCCTGGTGGCGGAATGTTGATTGGTGGTGACAGTAGCGTTGTTTGAATGTTGTTAATCCAGTATATTCCTTCTTCTCTGTACCTGTGGTGACTCTTGCCTTATACACGACGCTCTCCGTTACACACGCTTCGTCTAGTGGGTATAATTCTTCAAAGGTTCTTCCAACAGTTACACGTCCTGGTGTCGATGTCACCTTCGTTGACTTGCTTCGTGGGGGTCGGGGGGGGGGGGGAGTGGTATAAAAAGGGCATGTCCATGAAGAAATTATGAAGCTGTGCACCCAAATGTACTTTGCGGACTGACATTTCTGCGAAGTTCATTTTTGTACCAAAATTGCTATTTGTCTGAGTAGTCAATGCTGATTGCCAGGTTTTCTTGCTCAAACGCTTCACTGTGATGTGTGAAAGGACTTGCAATCACACAGAGAAGCCATACAACTGGTAAATCTGAAATATGACCCCAAAACAAGCAAATTTAGGCCGAAATCGTTAAATACACCCACCCCTAGAAATACACCTCAAACAGTCTTATCACCGCGATAAGACCTCCTGAATTTTTGTTGTGGAGTAACATGGTATTATACAACGTACACCCATCCACAGAAAGAAGGGGTTCATGAAGAAACAAATCACCCCCAAAGGGTTGGAGCCTCCATTCAAACGATGCTACTATAACCACCAGTCATCATTCCGCCACAGACAACACGAGAAGGACACTTGCCTATCCCAGTACGTCTGGGCCAAGAAGGAAGGATGAAGGGAAGGCATGCAGCATTCAATGGGCAGTCCCCATGCAAAGAAGTGGCCTATAGCAACAAAAGCAAAAGGCGAAAGTTATGTCTGGCGGAAAAATGGGCAATCGCGAAAACGCCCAAGCACCTCCCTCTCAACACCAGGAATGAACTTGTGTCAAAGTGTCGCCACGAGAATAAGTACTACCTTCGGAACTTCAAACCATCCGCAAGCATCACCCAATCAAGTAGCAGCCAACCTGCTCCAGTGCGTGTGGCGTGAAGTAGTATCATTCACCACTGCTGTCATTCGCACTTTTCAAAGTCATGCGTCATTTACTCTTCTCTGCGTGCTTGTGCGCTTATGAACTCTTTGTGTTCCCTCTGTTGACGCTTTAAAATCGCTCTATTGACACTGCAAAATCGCTCTGTTGACGCTGCAAAATTTCTTATCATCTCCCTCCCTCAATCCCTCCCTCTCTCTCTCTCTCTCTCTCTCTCTCTCTCTCTCTCTCTCTCTCTCTCTCTCTCTCTCTCTCTCTCTCTCTCTCTCTCCCCGTAGCTCTCTCCCTTTTGAAATTCGCTTCCATAGAATTGGGCACCATTGCCCGTTTGGCCTTGCGAATTAAAAAAAAATCAACAACAACAACAACAACATGCCATGATGCAATCTTTCACAACTGCTGTCATTTGAACGTTTCCTTTGTGGGTATATAAACCAGTAGACAGAGTTACTCATTACCGTTTTCTGATGATCGCTTAGGTTGCGCTCACACGACGATAAAAACTATCGAGAAAGCTTGCACTGTGAGTACTAGAGTGCTCACACGAGACTTGTACGTTTACGATTACGATGTACACAAGTATCAGACAGTAGTAACTACCTTTTTCACTACTCTCTGGTGGTGATATTCCCCGCGTGCCGGAGAAATGAAAAAATTCGCCATGTGGATCGCCACCGAGGTTTTTCTTCGTCATGGTGACGACATGCTGCACTGGTGTTAGTGTTTGTTTGTTGAGACTTCAAAGTCTTGCAGCAACTAGTTATCCTCTCAGTGCATTCAGCACCTGACGAGATGAAGGAGGGACCCACTCGGCTAATCTTGTTCATCACGCGAAGGAGAAGCCAGGGCGTGCAGCTCTGGCTGCACATTGATTTCATCTCGCTCACGTAACCATGACAACACTTACTACAGGACCACGATGCTCAGCAGGCTGTCCAAGCCTTTTAGAAGTTGTTTGCCTCGGCGGATTCTACGTAGCGGTATCCCCGGAGTTCTCCACTACTCTGCGATCTGAGTCCTGAACAACAACAAACTGACTGGTACTTGAGGAGAAAAAGCAGTCAAACAGTATAGTATGCATCAGACATCAGACATCATGCTTAAACGCTTCACGATTATACTTTTATCTTTACCCCCCCCCCTTCTGGAGGTTCCGAGCAACCATTTTTATTTTTCTCCGTGCGATTCTGATTTTCGTGGCACGCGACCCAATCACTATTGTCACCTTCCTGTACGCGTCATTTTGCGCGTCGTGTGAGCGCAACGTAAGGGCGGTAAACTCGGAGTTTTTCATCCTCCTATCTTTGTTTGAACTAACTCTGCCTTTCGGTAATGAGCACTCTATTGGACACCTGGACCCTCTCTGTTTTACATGTGGACTATGGAGCCAGCATAATACCTAGACCGTTTTCGAATGACAATTCTGCTATTCAGAATTCACATGGAGTTTGGTGTGTGTATTTTTGCGTCCGTCCAGGCTGGTCTGGTTTCCTGGAAATCCTTCACCAAGACAACTCATGGATCGGGTGGATACACATTCGATGTCAGATTCAACAAAACACGCACCGACACCGTGTTACGAGTGGTGTACACTTCGGTGTTCGGAGTCCAGTATTCATCCTCTGGACCCTGGTATTGCTTCACAATATCCGTACGGATTAACGGCAATGATTGTTCCGATCCTGGCCCAATCCGCAGTGGAGCTAGTCTCAGGACATATTCTGGTTCGTTTGTCTACACTGCGCTTCCGGGCTCAGTTAGCGGCACATGCGCCAATCAAGCGTCTGGTATACTGCGAATCACCACACATCTGGAAAGGCATTGTCATTCGTATAGTGCAACCTTTCACAATGTTGGATACTATGCTGGTGGCGCTACCCACGCTCTCACCGCCTCACTTTACATTGAGGAGTTAGCCTCGGGATCAAAGAACAGACACTAAACATGGTCATAACATCTTTTTCAATTGTTGACCTGATTTGCACAGCGACCATGGTTAGCATTTACCATACCCATGAAAGATCGATAGACGTAGTGGCCTATGACACATTAGTTGCACATAATTATGGCATCTATTTTTTTCTTTATCGTCGTTTCTTTTCCTGACTTCTTCAGTTAGTTTTTAGTCTCACGAGTGTCCCTACCCTCCCACCCTTCATTTCTGTGTATCTTTTTATTGTTCTTTTACTCAATCTGTGTTATTGTTTTTTTTAAATAATTTGTTTCTGTGATGTGCTTGCCATGCCTACATGATGCCAAATCACCATTGATGATACTAGTACACCCGTTTTTCCCCTCACTACTGCGTCCGTCGGCGCGAGGGTTTTTTCCGGCTGGCTCGGTCCAGGAATATTAATCTGACGGTCCCAAGCGGTTTTGCATCATGGCCTCTTTCTGCTATCCGCTTGCATGCCTATTCCGTTTGAGACACTCTGTTCTCAGTTCTTGCTTCCATAAATCAAAAATAAATTTCACGTTTCATGTGAGACTCGGCTGGAAGCCGAGTTTTCCGCCACCGCCGTGGGAACACCACCACCCTCTAGGATCAAGGCGCAGATGCAGCACCTAAACGATCGGAGGTGAGTAGATCAGACCCACCACCAAGTGGTCAAAGACCGAAATCCCATTAGCTGCATCTTGCTTCCATACCTCACTCGTTATCAGGTTGACATCTGGCTGCGGCCAACTACCCCACATCTGGCTGCGACCAACTACCCTTCACTTTGTGTGTTGTCGCTATTGCTGTCTATGCATCTGTGTGTGCCATAATAATAATAATGTGGAGCGAGAAGTAGGTCGTTTGGTGTTGCACCTAGTGTATAGGTCAGCGTTTGAGTTACCTTGAGGCCAATGGTACTCCAACAACACTACGAAGTCTTCTCAGTTGCTCCCGATCAGGTGAAAGCGCCCAGCTTGGCAGCTGCATGCGGAGTCTGTCATCCCCCATGCTCCAGCACTGCTGAATAGGATGGGAAAGATCATACTTCATAGTATTGTATATGCGTATACGGAGAGCGTCTCTTTACAAGACTGGTTCTGACCCATAACGCCCAGAGATTCTTCAGGGATGCTGTGGCAAGGCTTTGTCGTCTTCTGATGTCTTCATTCTGATAATTACGTGCAAAAAGCCTCCAAAATTTTGTCGCACCGATTATCGACATGGTTTCGGGCGACGGTGTCCAAACCTCCTGTGAGAGCAAGGGAGGACACAATTATTATGACATGTCACATGACAATCACCATGATAATGATAGAAGCCAATCACGATGCATTTAGCACGGCACGTATACTGTATAGCGTGTTCTTTGCCCTGAGAAGCGCTCGGCGGGCAGATATTCGCGATACTGTAAATATACAAAATTTCGGCGCTGCAAAATTTCGGCACTTCACGATTTTTGACATTTCGGCGGCGATTTATTTTCGGCGTGGGGTAGAGGGCATGGTATAGTGCGACAGATGCTGTGAAAAATTTCATCGGCGTTTTGGGTCGGTGCCGAATATAGCCGAAATTAAATAGCTGCCGAAATGTTGTATATTTACAGTATCTACCCTCCTACTGCCTGGTCCTAGGATTAGGAGGGCAGATATTGTACATGTGACATAACTAGACCGAAAATAGATCAGCTGGGTGCATGTCATAATCTTTTTTAAATGCAATCAAAACAATCGTACTCAGGCGCGACCAGCGAATACATACCCTCGAGGCCTCTGAGCTTCGCTCGCCGGGTATGTATTCGCTGGTCTTGCCTTCGTACTCATGATTGATTACATTCTTTTTTTTAAAATTTCGGCCAGTCTGCTACTATCATTTCGTTTTGGGGGTTAGACAAGGGGAAGTAGCCACGTAGGGGCGTTAGCCCGCCTTTCGGCACCGGGAGTTGCAGCTCGCTCGACTTGACTCTACTGAGTGCAGAGGACCCACACCTTGATCTGGTGAGCTGCGTCGTGGGGATTTTGCAGTCAGATGTGCGACTGCGGGGCTCGAACCCGCGACCTCTCGGGTCGCAGTTCATATGCAATGCCACTGTATTCTGTGCTAATCACAAAAGGGAGTTTCCTTCGCCCAGCGCACCATGCTTAGCACCATGTTAGCACCATGTATTCACTGGGCATGGCTAGACACACCATCGATTTGTATCCTGAGCCGCCCTATCCATGGTTGGCTGGACTCCAACAGAGCTTGTCAACTCATTTCACAATCAAAACCTTCAATGGGGGAAGAGTGTGTTGCTCCCTACATGGGTATGGGCGCTCGCGGTTTTCCTGCCGACTTGACTGGATACTTTACTGATTCACGACTGCCATCCAGAGCACACGAGAAGTAAGTTCATCGAACCGTTCACTCGGGAAACCTGCAAGAAAGCACCACTCCCTGCTCAATACACAGTGTTTCGGGGACTTCACCCTTCATCAGTTCACGCTTCCCCTACTATCGCCGAAATCGCGCCAACCTCTTCTTCACAAAACTTTTTATGTTATCCCATCAAGCAACTGGCGCCAACGCAAAGCACTTCGCCATGTCTTGGTAGACGTTGCACATGACTGCATGATTGTAACGTTCTGTGAGCTGGCTCTCCCAGTTCAGGTGCATGCACGTGACATGAAACTACACGTACCTACAAATGTCACGGTGTAAGTCATGTTTGGTTGTTATTATTTCAGTTCGTGGCCTCAATGTTGATCGGGTAATTTAATTCGCGGGATTCGCGTTGGCATCGCTTGAATGTTCAGAAACACACAAACTAGACTTCGCTTCCGCAGGCTACCACTATGCATATGCCTTGTACACTTTTAGGCTTTATGTTGATCGCTTGACAAGGCCAAAGCGGGCAAAGGTTCAGTGCTGCCACGTAGCAGTCCTACCATGCAGTTACTGTATATAAACTGGCTCGACCTGGACTGGACCAGGGCTGTCGCTCACAGTCCACGGTCTTGACTTTAGCTCGTCTTTGGGTTGTATGCCATTTCAAGCAACAGGTCCTTTCCTTTAGGTTCTTCCTTTCAGTTTGTTAAAGGATGCTGAGTGTATCTTCGTCCTGCCCTCGGGTGCATGAACTCTAAATCCTTTTATATCCGAATGTTGGTCTCGTCACTCTTTACGACTGGAGCAGCCAAAGCAGCGGAGGGAGGTTGATTGGACCGGCGTTCATGCGTGGAGTGGCGCAAACAAGACTACATGTACTAGTCATTACTGCGATCTGCAAGCAAGAAGGGAGGCGGCGGGCTTCGTCAGTCACCAGGCCGTTGCCGTAGAGTGCAACCGTTACCAGAATAATCTATTGTAGCTTGTTGAATGTCACCAGTACAGTAATTATACAAGACTGCAAGCGACTCGCCTGATCCTTCCTCAACTGTCATCGCCATGCCGAAATCCAGCAGCGAGAGTATTGTGACATCGGAAGAGGATGGGCCCTCACCTCAGCAATGTTCCTTTCGCGAACTGTCACCGGGGCGCCAGCGTGAAGAGCGTCAGCGCCAGTTTCGCGTGAAACTGGAGGAAATGCTCTCGCATGAGCCGCCGGCCCTGGCGCCCGATGAGGCTAATCTATCCATAAAGAAATCAGATGGGTGCAAGGAATGCGGAACCCCAAAGGATTCCGCCGCCAAGTACAAGGCAAGTGGCAGCGCATTTTCTAGTGAAAGTGGTGGACATCACGCAACTGCATTGTAAATAAAAAGAGGTTTGTCAACGAACAACCGCTTTATTCAGGCGCTACTCACTCCTGGCGCATGCGCTGGATGAAAAAATTCATTAATAATATTAGTGATAATCTACGTGGAGATAAAAGTTTAATAATAGCTATGAAAAGTATGAATGCCGCAGACATCACCACGCAACATGACAATTTGTTCAAGGTTTGGTTTTGTGTGTTTCCAAAATCGATTTTCACGTTCCGATCATCAGTGGAAATACGGAACTAAAGAGATCAAGGGAAAAACAAAGGTTAAAAATCCAAAGAAGTGTGACACATGACGGGTAACTTGTGGTAAGTATTACAAAAAGTGAGAACTAAAATAAAGAGTAAGTGTGACAAACGGGCATGAACAGTGCAGAAACAACTCATGAACACGGGGTGCAAACTCACGAAAATAACCTAAGTGCTAAAACATGTTCTTTTTGCTTACACAAATACTGACGTTTCAGGCCAGTCACCCATCGTCACCCATCATCTGGTTCTGATGATGGCCTGACTGGCCCGAAACGTCACTAATTTTTCGACATGACTAATAAAAGAGTTTTCATCCAGCGCCTGCGCCAAGAGTGAATAGCAACTGAATAGTGCGGTTGTCAGTTGACAAACCCCCTTTTATTTGTATTTTCGAGTACAGTGTACAACAGTCAAGGTGTTCTCGCTCCATCCCAGAAAAATTGTTAGAGAAGGAGAGGATTATCACTCTTGTACACAGATTGATAGGGGATCGCTATGGACGGTGGCATCAAAGCGCGCCTGTACGCTAAGCCAAGAATTATGTTTGCTTTGGTCTGGAAAGGGCAGGAGGGGTTTGGAAGAAGCGAGTAGTGACGTTCTGACTTCCGATTATTGGAAGTCGACATTTACTGGTCAGTACGTGGTAAAACATAAAAAAAATAAAAAATTCACGGTTCGCGTGAGACTCGGCCACAGGCCCAGTTTTCCGCATCCGCAGGAACGCCACCGCCCTCTTGGATCATGGTAAAACATAAAGTGAACATTATTAGACCAAAGGGCCCGTGCTTGACCTGCATGTCAGGTGGAGAGAATGTCTGTATGCAGAGGAATGAAGTGAATCAGATTTAAAAGTGGAAGGAATGTCCAGAACAGTATGTCGGCGAGACCAGTCGCTTCCTTTTTGAAACGGCTCGAGGAACATAATGGTGAGGCGGGAAGGCAGATAAGAGACAAGCCATGGGGAGACTATTTCCGTACGACCCACCCAGATTGCAATTTGGTATGTGGTCAGAGTGCGTTCTCTGCAGTTGCCGTTGTCGCCAGGGAGACAGATAGAGCCCGCCGGCCCGCAGACTACGTGAAACCATCGAGATCCGCGACACTAGGTAACACCTTAAAACACTAGCACCGGAAAACTTGCGAGAAAGTACCACTCCCTACCCAAGACAAAGTGTTTCGGGGAATTCACCCCTCATCGCTGACATCAGTTCAGCTTGAGTAGGCTGAGGAAGATTGTGCCTGAAGAGCATTTATAGTGCTCTTCCGGCCCAAACATCACCAGGGATACAAACTTACAGAGACGCTCCGTTTCCAGCGCCACAAACACGGCGTGAGTCAGTGTCGCTCCTGAACGACGAGAACAGGCGTCGAGGACCCTCGGTCATTCACAACCCTGTCACCTCCAAACCAGCTAGTTGCAAGCCCGTGCACAACAGTACGAAATATTGGTAACGGCTTCGGCGATTATTGTTAGGAAAGGGTCCGCACGAGGGACAACAGTACGAACTACAATGGGCGCTTTCGATTACACGTTTACACAATTCTGGAACTGGTTTTTTTAAATTCTGGAATGACCAGAATGAGCGAATTCCGGCCTTGTAAACGAACGACTGGAATTCAAAACCCATTTTATTCATGTCATGTCACAAACAAAAAAACAAAAAAGAGATCACGTACACCCTCGCGCGCACGTGGACCAGCATCGCGCGCACGCCGACCAGGGAGACTTTTAGGGCACGTTCGAATTGTCTTCATCAACTGTTCTAACAAATTTTATAAAGAGACTAGCAGCACCCCCGCCAGCGTTGCCTGGCCGAATGTGGCATGCGGGTGAAGCAAGTACATGAACAGCACACGTGCTCAGCACGTGGTGGTGGCCAGACCGCTGAAGTCCTGGTGAGGGAGGTTCTTCATCGTTGGAAGGAGAAGGAGGGACGTCTGTTACGCCTTCGGGAGGCTGGTCAGGGTTGTCCATCACCTGGTGGCGGATGAAGCGGCTCAAAAAATTCATAAACTTACGAACAAAAGTGCGATGCGCTCTTCACTGCAGATCAGATGCAGAGTGCAGTCAGTGCAGATCTTTTGTATCCTTTTGTTGCAGATGTTTCTATTTGCAGAGAACGGTTCACGTGGTCCGCAGCGCTTGTGCGGCTGCTAGTGCTACCTATGCCTATGGCCTAGGCTAGGTGGCTACATGATTCGCACGCTTCGCGTGCTCAGTGCTTCTGCGCGCGGCTGCTACTGCTACTCGTACTGATCGTGTCTGCTATAAGCGCTACCATGTACCACCGTGCCTACACTGTTCGCACGCTTCGCGTGCTCAGCACGTGGTGGTGGCTACACGATTCGAACGCTTCGCGTGCTCAGTGCTTCTGTGGCTGCTTCCGCTAGCTACACGATTCGCACGCTTCGCGTGCTCAGTGCTTCTGCGGCCGCTAGCTACACTGTGCTACACTGTTCGCACGCTTCGCGTGGGCAGCGCTGCTCCGCAGCGCTTCAGCGTGACACAAAAACACACGCTTCGCGTGGGCAGCGCTGCTCCGCAGCGCTTCAGCGTGACACAAAAACACACGTCACAGGTGCCTCTTCTTTATAAGGAGCGTGACACACACACACACACACACACACACAGACACACGTCACAGGTGCCTCTCTTTTATAAGTAAAGAAAGAAGATTAGTTGAAGTTTCCCATTAGAACGGTTTCTATCATTTTAGAGTTTTTCAGTGGAATTGTCATGGCGATGATGACGTCCATTCAGATCGACCATCTCCACGTAGTACGTGACGTACAATGTAGCTATTCCAAACTCTTCGAAACTAATCCACCTTCCCATCGGATGAGTTTCGAGGAGTTTCGAGGAGCTTCGTGTTTCTGAAGAGGCCAATAAGGCCACCTCTTCAGAAAAACGAAGCTCCTCGAAAAGTCAAAGAGTGACAATTCGAACGCGCCCTAAGTCTTCGCGCGCTTCAGTCATGACCAGACCGGTAAGTTGCGGTAACACACCGACTGTGCAGTTCTGGCGCAGACTTAGAGAAATTCCGCCCTCTCTTCAGAATTGACGGATTCGACGGAATTGGATAAAATCAATTCTAACGACGGAATTTGCCACTTTTTGTGTAATCAAACTGTGCATCAACCATGATAACTAGAATTGACCGAAATGCGTGTAATCGAAAGCGCCAAAATGATTATGTACTGTAAGAAGATGGTGTGATTTCGCCGGTGATTTGTGAAGAAAGTGTCTGCTCTGAACGCCGGAGGTCGCGCTTCCTGCCGACTGTGTTGACTACATGTATTTTGAGTGACTCACGACTGCACAGTCTGTAGCAAACTCCGGCCTTCGCGGGAGTGTGACTAATTATTTTTGTAGATGGTTGGAGGGTGACAGCGTTGAGAAAGGCAACTCAATGGCCCTCAGCTCAGCGTGACCGTCTGTTCTCCCAACTCCATGTGTGACACTGACTCACGCTGCTGCCTGGCGCTCACGAGGTGTTTGTCGCGCTGGATACGAAACGTCAAGTTTCGTATCCAGCGCGACAAACACCTCGTGAGCACCATACAGGCATGAAATTTCATAAGCCAACTCGAGCTCAACTGATGATGGGTGACACTGCAATGAGCAGAGAGTGGTGCTTTCTGGATGGTTTGCCGATTGGCAGGTTCGACGGGCTTCCCGTGTGCTTCAGACGCAGTCGTGAGTCAGCCAATGTCAAGTCAGTCGGCAGGAAGCGCGAGCTCCGACGTTCGGAGCACACGCTTCCTTCACTAATCACCGCCGAAGTCGCAACATCTTGGTTCGTATTATTATTGACGGGGCGCCAGCAACACCTGGATTGACTAAAAACGATGGACAAATTTCAGGTGATAGGAGCAGTACCCTTTGAAACCTTGCAAACTGTGCTTGACTAACTTACTTGTATTTCACATGTGACTGTCATACGGGCACAGCATGCAATGGAGGCACTGGCGAAGAAGGCAGAGGAGCTGAAAGTTATGCGAGCATTCCTCGATACAGCCAGGGACCAACGGAACACAATGAAGAAGCTTCTAGCGCAGCTGAAGGAAAGCGAAGAAGAACTGCGCAAGGTGAAGGAGAGGTGAGTTCATTTCAGATAATAATTTATTATGATTGTTTTGCTCGTTTGGAGGGCAGTCACTACTGTACTGTGTGTGTGTACTCTTGCAATGCAGACCGTATGAGGTGTAACACACACACACACGCACGCACGCACACACACACACACACCTCAGACCTCAGAGATGCCCATCGCGGAAGCGATGATAGCGAACAGCTATGTTAGACATAGCAACTTGTGCTGGGATTACGCCATACATACATACATACATACACACACACACACACACACACACACACACACACGCACACACACACACACACACACACACACACACACACACACACACACACAAACACACACACACACACACAAGTCGGCAGTGTACACCGGCACACTAACGGAGGTTTCGCTTTACGTAATTAGAGAGGTTCTGCTATACGTGAAACGTAGAGAAATCACGTAGAGAGCAGGTGTCTGGGTTAGAGTCTACGGCTTCGCGTGTTTTGGGTCCAGATTTCTACGCGGAGATGAGGTTCTCTACGTTGTGGCACACGCAAAGAAAAATGCGGATGGATCTGCAGGGTAGCATTCGAGTGCAGCAGAAAACTGCCAAATATGGAAAGGGAAATTCCCAGTACACATTCCACGTGACTCCTCTACGTGAAACGTAGAGCAGAACTGGATTTCTTTACGTTACGGGAACGCGAAGAGAGTTCGCGTGATTCTTTGCGTCGCGTTCCCGAGAGCAGAACCTCACTATTAAGTATGAAATTCACGGAAGAACTGGACACAATTTTCACACGTAACATTCCGCGCTGGTGGGCTTCGTTCTACGTGATTGCCTGTCGAAAACTAAGCATTCCTGTTTGTCCTCCTCCTGCACCACAAACCGTCACAACATTCTCCGTTTGGTTTCCACGTGTTGTGTACGTGGCTTGAGCGTTGCCATGGATAAATCGAGAAAATGCAAAATAAATATTTCAAAAGGTCCTGACGTAGGAAAGCACTTTCCCACGGACATCCGTGGAGAGATTTGCGTATGATTTTTGAGGCGCGTACGACATACGGATTTTCATTCGTAAGTACAGCGAAACCTGTCTGAGACGACCGCTCAAATAGATATAAATTTCACAGTTCGCGCGAGACTCAGCTGAAGGCCGAGTTATCCGCATCCGCCGTGGGAACGCCACCACCCTCTAGAATCAAGGCGCAGATACAGCGCCTAAACGGTGGGAGGTGACTAGATCAGCCCCACCACCAAGTGGTCAAAGACCGAAATCCCATTAGCTGCATCCACGACCGCTCAAACGACCTTCAAAATGTGGTCTCTGTTACCAGGTGGTCTGCTTATTCAGGGTCATTTGACTGGAAATGGCATCCCTTGGTCCCAGTTCCGGTGGTCTTCTGGGACAGGTGGCCACTTTATCCGAGTGGTCGCCTTGACAGGTTTTACTGTACGTAGGGCGAAAATTCCCTGATAGAGGTCCTGATAGAGGTCCTGATAGAGGTCGAAGCAATTACAGCGAAAAGGTGACGTGGAGACAATACTTGTGGTACAGCAATGAAGAAAGTAATGTGTATGTGCTTGTAACAAAAACACAAACCGCTTTTAAAAAGACTATTGCCATTGCGTAATAGAGCTTCGGACGGCGCATCACAGAGACACCGGTAGCGTTATTCAGTCGTTAAAATCAGTTCAGGATCGTTCTGTAAGGATTTCTCCAGAATAGACTTGACTTGCATTGCCTGCACCTTTCCTTAGAAGGCGGTGAGAAGTCCTGATCAAGTCTCTGGCTGTGGAGAACTTGATTACTGGACCAGCGTTTCCGATATCCATGTGTTGGTTTCCCACCAGCAGATACCTTTATCAAGGCAACTACTTCTGTTAGTCAAAAATCATTCCTTTCGGTTTTTACGCACAATAGCTTGTGCTAATGGACCCACACATGTGAGAAGGCATGCTTTCTGTTTGTGATGCGACTTTAAATAGAAGTTCAAGAACTGCTCAGCTGGCTTTTGAACTTCAATAGGATTCGTCACTGGCCATTGCTAGATGACGGGATGGGATGTTTTGGCTGAAGTTTCTCCGGCCGGTGGTTGCTGTAATCTGCATGCTCAGCAGTGGTTGCCTTTGTGGCCAGTGGTTGGTTTGTGAGTAGTCTGACTGTATCGTCTAGCCTTGCTACTGCGGCATTACCACTTGCGGGGAGAAGCTTGGCTGTCTCCTTGATCTTTGTTACCGACATCGCAACCCGACCGGCGTCAATAGCTGCCATCTCACAGGTATGAAGAATGTGTTTTGATCAGCCAGGGTCTCCTCGAGTAGGGTCATAAGACCTCAACAGAACCCTGTTGAATTATCTGCTTGTATAGCAGAGGGGAAGCGGGTTAGTCTTGAGATGCGGCCACCAGCCAGTGATTCTTGTAGGTATTGCAATGATGCTGAGTCCGAGACAGGGGAAGATCATTCACAAGCTGGGTGCTGGCCGGAAATTGGCATATCAACACGGGTGAGAATATTTAGAATATAGGCTATTGTATGTTCTCGCAACATACAGCACACCAGATCTCGTCCACCCACGGGCCACTCTTCAGGAAGACTTAGGCGCGATCTCTGGTCTGAAAATCAAGCACTCATCAACTTTGCTGCAATGTGCTCTGCTTGGTTTGCCGTGTGAGCCCACTCACTTCAAGATAGGGGTAGATCGAATTTCACGAATGCCTCGCGAGTGGGTGAGCAAGTGTAGGATCACTAGGACTTCTTTACTGCTAGCATGTCCAGTGTCACAAAGCTGTGGAGCGGCATGTCAGCATATCTTAACCACATCCCTTGCTGAACCGTCGGACGAGCGAGTGCAGTATAGCGCCTTTGTTTTTGTGGAGCGCTTGGGTTGCAATGAAGCCGAGACCCTATGGTCGGTCAAGCTGCCCCTGCCTCTCCCCCACTCCTGCCATTCCATATGTCTCATCGCTGCCTTGCTGCTTTGTGCCGTCGAATGGTGTTTTTTTTTTTGGAAAAAATAAAATATAAGGATGATCTGGGTAACTATGACGACCGACAGTATTAGTGCTAATAGAGAGGTTAGTATGCACGTTATTTCCGACGTGACGCGCAATTTCACCTCAAATTTGGCATAAAACTCCAAATTTTGACATGTGCTGCAGGTCACTCATGTATAAAGTGAGCTGGACTTTCGCGTCACGTCAGGAATAACGTGCATCTGAACTGACCTCTTTGATATCTCCCGCATCGAACAATCTGTGAAGAGGCATGTCAGGTCACCTTATCAACATCACAAGCTACAGCCCCCACACTTTTCACCATTACGCCTTACACTGATGCAGTCACCCGGATACATAGTGCCTAGGATCACTGGTTGACTAGGACGGCCGACAGCTTTTTACGTGAAACTTGGAATCACAGCAAATTTTTCAACCGCTTCTACTTGTGGTGGATTTTAGGTGATTCAGAAAGGTGCTTGGTTCGGGAAGTGCTCATCGGAATTGTCTACCTACAGTCCGTTTCAAAAAGATTTACAATCCTGGCGATCGCCCGCGGAGTTTGGCGTCTTACCGTATGAGCACTCGAGCGCTGCCTGGAAAAACTCACTGTGAACTCGAAGAAATATTCCGCGCGAAAGCAGGAAAAATGACAACTCACTCACGTTGACACAGTCATGTACGTCTGGTATACAACAAACGAGTTCTTCCTCGTATCGATAAATGTAATGGAGTCAGAGAGGACATGTCGAAACGAAAGTGTTGTACATGTAAATGTTGACGAGCTGCATGGGTCCGTTTTGTGACCAAAATAGTTTCTTTGAGCTGCGATGCAATTTACTCACCGTGTGACGAAAACGACATCGACACGGACTCATTCCCAAGGCCATGACTTGGCAAAGCTATCCGTGTGACTTCGACGACATTTTGAGAAAAGCAGACGCTTGTGAACGCTGATAGAAGACGGCGTTGACTGCTAAATTAATTCAAATAAATTGGCGATCTTGAAATACTAAAATAAATCTCAAAAAGCTACAGCGCGATGACTTCCATTATAATTCACTCACACCATTGCAGTGTTGTGGCGGTGTTCACATGGCGTGCAGTCAAGTGTCAGTCAGTTTGGCAGGAAGCGCGAGCTCCAACAACAAGTCGTTTGGTGCAGCCATCTTCTTTGTCTTGCACCAGCTTGATCACCAAAACAATGAAAAAAAGTTTGACTTGAGGATAGGTTGGGATTTGAACTCACAACTAACTTCATGGTCAACAGACAGCATTCATAACCACGAGGCCAAAAAGGAAAGGATAAATCGTGGGTTTTGATAAAAAATCGATACAGGCTTCCTGGGCAAATTGTAAACCATGGGAAAAGGCCGGAAACCTGGCCGAAATTCTAACTCCTTAACGGTTGGTCCAATTGTTCCGAAACCTTCACAGAACAATTTGCCGTGTCCTAACAAGCCATTCTATGTACTTTGTTGTCCAAATTTCCCTTATCTTCATACTTTTTAAGACCCAAACCTGATTGTAAATCTTTTTGAAACAGACTATAGTAGGAAGAGTGTACAAAGCAACTAGTCATTATAAACATTTTATTAACAGCTTCTCCTAATTTCCAGGGCATTGAACTAAAACAAGCTCGCCAATGGAACGATGCTTGAAATCTTTGAAAAGGTCAAAAAAAGGGGAGAGGTGAGGGAATGTAGGTAATAGCCCCCGGCAGATAATGCTGGCAAAAGAACTGGCAAAATTTTGTACCATTTCCTGGTGTGAGTTGTGAATGTTTGTGATGTGGATAAAGTGGATAAATGGAGCAGAATTCAGGGAAATGCTTGCCATCATGTTTGCAGGGTTTCACCCATATCACTGCTTTTCGAGCACAATCTGCCAATAGTTCGAGCATTATCCGCCAAGGGATAAATGACATGTAGCTACTGAAATGGTTAGAGCACGAAAATCGTAAAATTTGCCCTGAAGGATACCATTTTTGGCGAACAGATAAATACATTTACATGTAGTCTTTTCCCAAATCGGCCCGTTTTTTTCGCCTATTCGCCTATTCGGCTTTTCGCTAAGCTCAAAAATACATCAGATTCGGCTGCAAAATCAGCTGATTGTTTGGAAATCGGTTGCAAAATTGGAATATTATATTGGGAAATCGGCTAAAAGAATTGTTGGCATATTGGCTTCAAGATTGGCGAGATATTGAAAGATTTGGTAGATTTTCGGCGATTCTCAAAGAAACCCTCCAAAATCGGCGAACAGCTTAGCGATTTTTCGAAAAGTCTCGTTTTCGGAGAACTTTTCGCCCCTGATTTGGGGATTTTACTGATAACGATCTTCTGAATGGCTGGTCAAAGGACACGAGTCACACGACCTCAACGCACTTTGCAACAATATTTGGTAGGTTTTCGGCGATTCTCAAAGGAACCCTTCAAAATCGGCGAAAGGCTTAGCGTTTTTTTGATCAGTCTCGTTTTCGGCGAATTTTTCGGCCGGCCGATTTGGGGAAAGCCTATTTACATGATGTCTATTACACAAGGGGTACACCAAGGAAAGAAGTGCTCTTTATGGTTCCTCAGAGTTTCAATCATCAGACATCATCAGGCAACAGTGAAGGAGATGGGAAGCAGCACAGGCACATGTGTATACATATTACACACTAGTCAGAACAGCAGATGGCTTGATCAGTCACAAACTAAAGTTTCATGCCATCTCAGGCATGAAACTTTAGGCTGTGACTGATCAAGTCATCTGCTGTTCTGACTAGTGTGTCACGGCTCTACCTTCCCGGTATCGAGCTCTCTTGGATTTCTGCCGGAATTCACAACAGTGTGTATACATATTATACAATCCAATATTAGTTCAAAACCAGTATTAGATAAACCTTGTTATAGTTCACACATATTGTTAGATTGACAGCATGAAACAAGGTGGAGGACACTGTGAGGGACCGGGGCTCTGCCAACCGCGGAAGGTTGTAGTACGGTCACTGTTTCCGAACACAGTGTCCTCCACCTTGTTTCATGCTGTCAGTCTAACAATATGTGTATACTTGTATAGCCAAGCAGAGGAGACATGAGCGTTGCCCATTACAGGCATAGAGCCATTGCACATTGCCAAATATGGACCACATGAATAATGCACGCTGGGATCAGGAATGCACTGTCCTATCCTGGACTCAAGATCACTATTCGTCTGCTTCTAATTCTTGCATGTCTCCAGTTACCAGTCTTTGCGTCTCAAGTATAGCAGGACAGTGGAAGAACGGGATGATGCGCGCAAGACGGTTAAACACACCCACGAAGAAGAAGAGAGATTTCAGTAAGCTCTTGCAAGCATGCAACAAGATTCCTTTTTGGCCCTAGCGTACCATGAACCTTCCAATTTGGAAGGATATTGGTTTGCAAACTACTGGAGATGTGTTAGAGCTAGGTCTCAGGTCGTTGAATGTCTCAGTAGCCTGTCAGTTTGGTACCCTCTTATCGCACTTTCTCACTGCTTATTAACTGTGTTCTAGTTAAATTTGTGGATAGTTACTTCATGACCAACTCCCATGTGTTTTCTTCTATTTCACGTAACCCATGAGTACGAGAGAGCTTGGAAGCTCAGGGCCCTACGCTATGCTTTTTTGCCTTGATGGCATAGACAAAAATAGGGATGTTATAAATTCTTTAAACAAAATTCCTTTTTTTAAGACATAACCTGGGATTCGAACCCGCACTATCGCGCGCCCTGCATGCATCCCCCGATACACTTCGCATACATACTAATTCTTCCAAGTTGCTTCACGTTATGATATTGTATTTGAAAGCCCTATTTGAATATGCATTGTGGTCAGTCTTTGATGGTACGGTACGGTACGGGATAGGTACGATCGAGGGTAATACGACACCATCTACGGCCTTGATGACGGCAAAAAAAGCATAGGGATGTTATATATTTTTCAATTCTCCTATTTTTTTAAGCATATCCTGGGATTCGAACCCGCACTATCGCCCTACATGCATTCCCCCATACACTTCGCCTTCATACCCATTCTTCCAAGTTGCTTCACGTTATGATCTTGCGATTGAAACCCCTATTTAAATATTGCGGCCAGCTGTATGTGGCCAGCTGTGTTTGATGGTACGGTACGGTACGGGACAGATACGGGATAGCGCCAGGTGTGACACAAACATACAAACAAACAAACAAACACACAAATACCAAATTAAAGCTGTGTGGACCCTGGCTAGCGCCAGACGTTAGTGAAGTAACGTCTTCTGCATAGCTACGGGAATAAAAATATTTCCTCGATTTTCTTGCTCCTGCTCCCAGAACTGACGTAGATACGATTGGAGTTGACGTGAACGTCGTTCGTACCAAAGGTGGTGCAGGTCTGACGAAAGAGGAATGCCGAAAGGAAATCGACAAGATATGGGACCGCTTTCGAGAATTGGCTGAGTCCATGCAAGACCAACTGGAGACGAGTCGGGTGACACGGCAAACCAAGCAGGTCACATTACAACATGTAAGTACAGTGGAGATAGGGATAGCGGATCTGAATCAGAATGAAACAGATCAAGACTAGCGCAATATAACTGTCTTATCTGCACAACTGGTGAATTCTTTTGAATCAACTCCCAATTCAAGACTGGTCTACACCACATGTATATCGGAATAGAACGGCCGAGACAGTTGCCTGCGCACACCCTACACTTGCTGGGGTAACCAGTATAGACAGCATGCTGCTTTGATAGAAGCAGACACTAGATGCACAGGTACCCTGAAGTGAAAATGGATTCACACATACCCACATACGCTCCCACACACGTACACACACACACACACACACACACACACATACTCATGCACACACACACTCATGCACACACACACACACACGCCTCAAACCTAAAACATGCCCATCTCGGAAGCGATGATAGCAAACACTCCCAAACAGCTATGTTAGACATATCAACTTGTGCTGGAATTACACCATTCAACAGCTTGCAAGGCTGATGAATTGACCGCCACTAATTTTTAGCCTGGTTTCCACCACACAGCTGATTAAATTGGCTTTTTCTGGCCAGTAAATCCCTATTTTTCATTTTCATTATTCTTTTTTTTTTTACACACACACGCCACACCACATACTCCGATGTACACTGGCTGTTGGTAACCACCCAGGAGAATGAAAGAAGAGCTAGGAGAATGAGCAAGAGAGGAAAGATGTGTGCGGCCATAATCGTCGGGAATGGAACCCGCAACCTCTCGATTGGAAATTGACTGCACACAACACACACACACACCTCAGACCTCAGACATGCCCATCGCGCGAGCGATGATAGCGAACAGCTGTGTTAGATATAGCAACTTTCTTTTGCTGGGATTACACCATTCAACAGCTTGCAAGGCTGATGAATTGACCGCCACTATTTTTAGCCTGGTATCCACCACACAGCTGTTTGAAGTGACTTTTTCTGGCCAGTGAACCCACACACACACACACACACACACACATACACACACACACACACACACACACACACACACACACACACACACACACACACACACACACACACACACACACACACACACACACACACACACACACACACATGCATGCACGCACACACTCATACACACACACACACATACCCACACGTGCACACACACACACACACACGCACATACTCACACACATACCCACATACCCTTGTCCCTGGTCACTTCCCTTTAATCTCTTCCACCCCTCCAGGAAACTCCCTCTATAAGCATCCATTTACTTTTGGAGAATCCTTCAAATAACGTTTAAGTCTAAATGAAATGAAAAAACCCAACATGCTCACACACATGCACACATAACATGCTAAACGCTTCCACTTCCAAACCACAATACAATATAAATATTCTAGCACGGCATTGTTTAACTTCTGTTCCGCACTTGTTCCATCAATAGTTGTCGGTGCAGAAAATGGAGGAAATCCTGGAGATCTTCAGAACAGGACAGGCTCAATCTGAGGCTTTCCCTTGTCAGGAAGACAGGATCTCGGGTGAGTACTGCAGTAGTGCTAACACTACTTTTAAACGTACAGTGTAAAACCTGTAACTAAAGACCACCGTGACTAGCGACCAGCCTGGTACTACAGTAAAACCTGTAACTAAAGACCACCGTGACTAGCGACCAGCCTGGTACTACAGTAAAACCTGTAACTAAAGACCACCGTGACTAGCGACCAGCCTGGTACTACAGTAAAACCTGTAACTAAAGACCACCGTGACTAGCGACCAGCCTGGTACTACAGTAAAACCTGTAACTAAAGACCCCCGTGACTAGCGACCAGCCTGGTACTACAGTAAAACCTGTAACTAAAGACCACCGTGACTAGCGACCAGCCTGGTACTACAGTAAAACCTGTAACTAAAGACCACCGTGACTAGCGACCAGCCTGCCACTACAGACCACTTTGCCAGGCACGGACGGTCTCACATTCATAAAATTATGGTTGTGCGGTGCAAACCCTTTAACTAAAGGCCACCTGCCACTAAAGACCGCTTTCTCTGGCCCCAAGGTGTGATCGTTAGTCACAGGTGTTACTGTACTTTCGTTGCTGGTTCCATATTCATCAACTAACGCTACTGCAGCAATTTATTCATACTCTTTCGTTTCCCTCCTAACCCCTTCTTATCTTTATCTATGCATGTGGTTGGCTATCACCCACTGTCTTCACATTGGCCGTTGTTTCCGCCGAGTCTTGAGATGCTGCAGTAAACCTACAATTCAGCCATGGGTGGTGTTTGGTTGGTGATCCGATGTTCCCCCCTCCGCCCCACCACTCTCTCCCTCTTCAATCACTGTGATGGACATTGAGAAAATAGTGCCCCAGGGGCACTAATCGCGCGAGTACAGCACCTGTACACTATAGAACTAAACAGAAGCGAAGCGAAAAGGTGTGTGTGTGGGGGGCTTGCTTTCAATCTGCTATTGTGAGTATTGTGACGGATAAGGCAAGTTAGCATGACCTCGTTAGCACCACCGGATATGCAGTTTTGATTGGTCCGGTAGCTGTAGTGTGGCCTTTTGTACTTTGTGTATCGATATGCTGGATACACATGCTCTCCACAGTGTGTATCGATATGCTGGCTACACATGCTCTCCACAGTGTGTATCGATATGGTGGATACACATGCTCTCCACAGTGTGTATCGATATGGTGGATACACATGCTCTCCACAGTGTGTATCGATATGCTGGATACACATGCTCTCCACAGTAGTGAACACATGTTTGTGGCTGAAAAGTTGGCGCGGTGATAACCTGATCAACCGGACCGGTTCCCGCGGGCTTGCCCGTGTTGGAGCTGCATATGCTGTGCATGTGCATGTGCTGTGCATGTACTGTGCTGTGCATGTGCTGTGTGTGCCGTGTTTTCGCTTGGAAATAGATCTTGAAAAAGAACTTGCTGTGAAAGCTGAAGAACTAAGATATGCAGTTGATCAAAAAGTGGAGCTCGAAGAAAGGAATGCCAAGCTTAAAAAACAGAAG